TGGGTTTAACCCGTTTGCCCCACTCCCTTCAATTTCATCTGACTTCAATCTATATTTCTGTCAAACTTTCATAATATCATAGGCCTGCTTCGAAGAGAAAGCATTCCACAATCTTCGGGAACTTGCTTTTCATGCGGATTTTCGAAGCTCTTGATACTCCACTTTATTGGTTAGCTTTCGGCATAGAATGCCTTCTTCAGACCTTGACTTTACAATACATAGTTGCGAATATTCCAGAAGCAGACAGATTTCCAGATTCCAGAAGCGCACATCCTGTTTATATGAAGGTAAATGTCGTGCGGAATCTTCTGAAAACGAAGAGGAAGCTTGAAACACGAAGGGATTCAGTTGTTGATGCTAAAGTAGAACGTATTCCTGATAGTTATGGATAATTTGAAGGCAACACGAGGACCTGGGTCCCATACAGAACGGCTGATGGTGTGAGCCTCATCCTGCCTTTTGTTGAGATAAAGTGGCACGTGAGGTGAATCACGTCGTTAAGAGCTCTCAGCTTTCTTTTCGACTCGTTTCCGACCTCCCCCTACACTGAAAGATCTCCTGACATCTTCTCGAGTTTACGAAAAACGATGCCGCAAGCAGTCTTGTCACTACTGTACATCTGAAAAAATGTGCGAGCTTCAAGGCACCGTCTACTTGATTCAGGGCGGAGGACATGGAGAGAAGTACGTGGGGGAGACCGCAGGACCCTTGAAGATCCGTCTGGACGAGCATAGAAGAGCGTTGGCTAATCCCGCTGCCTACCCACGCAGCAGCTTTTCCATGCATCGTACACTTAAGCATGAAAAGGGAAACGCTCCATCTTCCCATGTGAGAGTTTTGCAAAGATATTTGGTACGGCCTCTGGGAAGGAAAATCATGGAAGCACGGGAAATATACCGTATCCAGCCGAAAATCAACGCAAAGAAGGAGATGCGTGGCCTCCTGAGGATGATTGAATGGTAACACCCTGCGCCTCAGGAGAAGAGCGGTGCCCCGTTTCTCTTTCAAGTTCGCCGCCAATGGGTCCACTCCCCTCTTCCCCAGCATTTCTGGTTGTTTTGATGAGATCCGATGTGTTCTATGTAGTAACTGATTGTTGACTGACTGTTGTTGTTTGCAACTATGCATCGTAAAGGTAAGGTTTGTAGAAGGCATTATATGCCGGAAGCTAACCAATAAAGTGGAGTATTAAGAGCTTCGAAAATCCGCATGAAAAGCAAGTTCGCGAAGATTGTGGAATGCTTTCTGTTCGAAGCAGGCCTATGATATTATGAAAGTTTGACAGAAACATAGATTGAAGTCAGATGAAATTGAAGGGAGTGGGGCGAACGGGTTAAACCCAATTCACTGCTCATCCACCGACTGCTCTCGTAGGGTGATCGAGCAACACCCATCACAATCGAAAATTCACTTGTAATCGGTGTGAAACTGGGGCTCGAAACACCATCTCCCTGTTGTTAGCGGAGTAGTGATGCTTTTACTGCAGTACACGCCGGTTAGATCTTATAGTAAATTCTCGGTGCAGTGGGAATATGAGCTCATCCTACTTCGGGTAAGCGCCTCGCTTCGCAACGAGCTTTGGCCTCACGTCCACTGGTAACATTGCGATTTCTTGCTTGGATTTCCATATGACACCTTCTTCTTATCTTGAGCAACAATGAAGTCGGTTGATGTAGTTGTACGCTTGCAGTCGAGGAGCTTCTAATACACATTGACTCGCACTCGACGCTTCTGCTCAGTCAAGGAGTATGCGATATTTGCAAATGAGATCTGCTCTAAAAGTGACTCTTGCGTAGTACGTCGTGCATGATGGATTGGGGAGTAGACATCGTCTTTTCTAGTTCCTGAAATTTCGAGTACGATTGCTGCGATGGGAGGCCAGAACATTTTCGGTATTAGAGGACAGTTGACGTTCGCTTCGACGAATTCCATCGAAGCAAGTCTCTCTTCAGAAGGAACGATGCTGCCATTTATGGAAGATAACAGGAGAGAGTGCACTGCTGCCCATCAGTATTTCACTCTAAACCTGGTGTCGAAGTGAACTGTTCCATAATGGTGAGGCAGAAGGCTCCAGTAGTCTTCTGACACATCATTCGATCTATACGTTCCGTCGTTCTCAACCGCGTTCGGGAGCAATATGCTTTTGCAGTTGAGAGACATAGTATTCTCAAGGCTTTCTGGACCCACTTGGGCCCTATTAGACTGCCACGAGTTCAGCTTGGCAACTCGAAAAGACAATTTGTGTTGTATTACCACAAAATCTGTCCGACCATCAACTATCTGATAATTTGTAACCGAAATCTATAACATAAATATTACAATATCAAAGGTATAATATATATCGACTTGTCCGAAACGTTTCCATTGATTTGAGTCATCTTTCAGCGAAGATTTTTGGAAGAGCAAGTTCATCCATTAAATAATATAACCTCCATACGATTCAATAAGGTTCCATTTTCCTGTAAGTTTCATTGTGCCACTTACATAGAAGGTTCTTGCACACCTAGAAGCGGAGAAATCCCTCGGGTGCTCTTTGCAGTCCTCCAGCGGATCGAACGGTTTTCCTTCCGAAAAACTCTACAAAAACCTCAACAAGTTTTGGTCTGATGGCGTTATGCCGTAGTATAGGGGATGTGGTAAGATATCCCTATTAAGTTCTAGCCAATTTTGTCCAGTGGCCAATAGTTGCAGACGGAAGCGCGGTCCAACACATTGCGCCGCTTAGTTCATGGGGCTCCCAAACACCGAGGCGCTTAACAAAAGCAAGTTCCAGCAAATAGCCACGGATGGTTGATTGGAACACTAATTCTTTCTTTACTCCGCGAGTAGTGATGTGCTGATCCGTTTCGATTAACATTTTGAATTGATCGTTTTCAACTGATGATAGCCTCTCCAAATGTTGCCGATTTTCGGAAATGGATCCCCTGTTTAAATTTCACAAACCACTTACGCATTGTTCGATCTCTCAGAGCATTGTCTCATGAACGTCATTGACCTTACTCGCGGCTTGAGCAGCGTCTTTGCCCTTGCACCAGAGGAAAAGCATCAGATGCCAAAGCAATAGTTTTCAATTTTCACCCTAGTCCCTAGATTCTTAGAAATGTTGACAGAATTCAGTCAGGGATGTTGGGGAGGACTAGCCTTCCAAAAAGTATATAACTTCGTAAGGTTAGGTTCCTGATCTCTTGTACAACAGTTGATGAACCCAGAGTGTTAGAAAGCAGCGTAAACTTCCCAGACAACCCGATATATAAAAATTTATAAAAAAAAACAATTTAATCAAAGTATTGGTGGTTTCAGGAATAGTTATCCTGCACAGATGAGAGCAGAGACAGGAGCTACATAGTCTTCTTCCTGAGAGGAAGCGCAAGCCCAATCAAATGTCGTTTTTTCACATCTAGCAGTACGATCAATTATAAATGTGTTACTTTGTCCTGATAAACCTGTGAATATACAGCCATTCGCGCTTGAAAGAGAAATTCCCCAGCTAATATCACTGCCAGTGCGCTAGGTCTCTTTTCTCCAGCTTCCTGATTTTTTGCCAAAACTTTTTGAATGTCGAAAAAGGATTTACATGTACATTCCGTAATTCGTAAAATCAATTAACCCATTGACGACCATGGCGTTTTGCGGGAATA